AGGTCTCAGTATCAGTTATGAACGTCTCTTGGAAATATTAGACTGGTTCACTGCAGCTCTGTGTCAACGATTTGAGCAGGAGAATTCAGTGTGTCCTGCTCAGCTACGTGAAGGTATCTTTACCGTGGGTGTAATTGACAACATTGACCATAACTTGTCTTCTACAACGGCGGAGGGATCATTCCATGGAACAGGCCTGAGCCTCCTTCAGTTTCCCACGGCTGATAATCCCGGAGAAAGCAGACCCCCTATCAGAATTCCACCTGAGAATACAGTAACGCCACCACTACCCGACAGTTACAGCATTGTCCCTGACATGGTATGCAATGTTCGAGATATCAAAGTACCAGGGATAGCCATACCCGATACCGTAAGCTACCTTGAAATAGCTAGGAGACAAGAGATCAAATGGCTACAACAGAGCATTGAACTACTGTCTAAAGATACTCTTGGCAGGAGTGAACACATTGCATGGGCCGCTTATCATGCATCTGATCAGCCAAACCCCACTGATCCAAGTGGTATAAGTGCCCTGCTGCCACTCTTTTTCGAGAAAGCTGCTACAATTTCAATGATCAAACATGGAATGACAATTGTAAAACGGGAAACGGAAAGATTGAATCCAGGACAAATACCAGTATTAGCTGCTGATCAACCGCTGTTCACTCTTTGCAAGTATGTGCAGTGGACTTGGCCAGAAACATATGGTGAAACGTCATACGTGATCATGTTTGGAGGCCTTCACCTTGAAATGGCTTTGTGGAATGTGCTTGGCGACCTGTTGGAAAACAGTGGTTGGACAACAGCTCTGACCGAAGCAGAAGTTGCCTCGGCAGGTACAGCAGACTCTTTCCTCCGTGTAGCGCACTTAACCCGGACAAGGCACGCGCATCAGGTGACGGCACTGACTCTTGCAAAGCTGCAGCATGATGCCCGGCAGACGATGCAAGACGATGAGTCTGACAATCAGCAAGAGGACGAAGCCTTCACTGCATGGAAAAGCAATATGAGCACAAAGAGTCCGACCTTCGCATTTTGGGACCTTGTACTTAAGTTGGAAATGCTGGTCCTCATCTTCGTTCGTGCACACCGTGAAAAAAACTTCGCCCTCTACATTGATGTACTTGAGACACTCACACCATGGTTCTTTGTCTTTGACCGCCAGAACTACGCTCGCTGGGTCCCTGTGCATTTGCGAGACATGAAGACCATTCCTGAGGGCATTGAGGAGCAGCTAAAGCGCTTTTGGGTCTTCCCTAAGGGACAAAGGAGGTTTTGTGCTATGCCATTAGACCAAGCACATGAACAAAACAATGCAAACATAAAAGATTCCGGTGGAGCTATCGGATTGACAGAGAATCCAAAGGCATTGAAGCGATGGATGGTTGGTGGTCCTGAACAGGCTCGACTACTGACAGAGTTTGAGAAGCAGTAATCTGGAGATGATCCGGAGGATTTCAAAAGCCATGAGGAGGGATTTTCTACACAGCAGAAATTCAAGAAACAGGTCAACAAGCTATGTGCTACAATTACGACAATGGGAAATCCCTTTACTGAAGAATCAAAGGAGCTGATGTCACTTTGTAGTCATGATTGTGTGGACCAGGCTACAGTGGGCACCTTCCGCACCTTGGAAAAGAGCAGTATGAAGAGTATGTTACGAATGTTTTGGTCGATAGAAATCGTTCCATCCACCAGCCGATTAAAAGGAATAATATCCTGATCTTCAAGCAACCCACTGCAAGAAATAAATCGAAGATGAAACAACAATTGGAAGACATAAAGAGCGACTACAGCCTCTTCAGCAAATTATACATCTCCTGCCAAGTGCGTGGTGACGACAATGATGAGTTCTTCATGCATGAAAATCACCCATGGCCTCCATCCCTGAGCGACCACGGCAAACTGCGATTACCAACCTGCAAGTCCCAGCTATTGGATCTCTTGAACTGTGCAAAGCCAGAAGTTCCACCTAACTTTGATTGCAAAGTCTTTGATGGCTCAGCAGTGGTACATTCACTTCCACGAGAAGATGCGTCAACGTTTGGCCAGTATAGTGAGGTCGTCT